AATTGACATTTTCATAAACACATAAATATTCAAGTTGTGAAGTAACATAAAATGGAAAAATGGTTTAAAATGGGAGTTATTGTTTGTGTGATTAAGTCATTCCTAAAAATGGAGTCACATCATTTGCATTCAAAATCATTTAATTAAATGAGAGGTGTTTTATTGGTATTGGGATGAGAGAGATAATATAAAAAAATAATTATTCTGGAGGTGTTAGTAATGGGTATGGGTATTAATTAAATATTATATACTATTAGATCATATACTATAACATAAAATAAATAGTGTTATTCACACCATGAAAAGGATAAAGATGGTAAATAATTATCATTTGATTTTGCAATTAATGATATAATAATAGTTGAAGTTGACATTTAAAATAAAAATATAAAATGGATCAAAGCAAATACAAATCAATCATTTGTAATTATAATAATACTATTACATAATAGAGTCTTTAAATAGATACAACATATGATTTATATCCATGTTTATGGGTATAAAATAATAAAGTATAAATATTAGAATAATTAATATGATATTATTATTATTATTCATTTAGTATAATTTTAAATAATATATATAATATATTAAAGAAAAGAAAAGAATATAATGACATCATATAAGAGCTATTCAATTAATTCAATTATGAGGATATCTAAAAATTAATATAAATCTAATAATTAATTATTTTAAGCTGAATTAAAGCTACTTTATAACAAATATAAATATGTACAGCAAACTATTTAAATACTTAAAAAATAATTTACAAATAATAAAATTGCTTCTTTGCTAATCTTTCTGCAAGGCCCAATTAAGAGATTTAAACTAAACCATAAAATTTGAAACTTTTTATTTACAACTATTAATTAAAACCATCCTTATTTGCATGCTTTTCCAATTTCTGCTAATTCAGAAGCAGTCAGAATAAAACATAAATTTATTCCCTTCATCTCAATATCTCTAAATTTAAACATAATAAAACATAATAAGAAAAGAAATATTCAATGTATAATCTACTGATATTAAGAGTTTTATTTGCACAATGAAATAATTCAATTAAGATTACCTTATATTTTAAATATTAAATTTTCTACTATTATTAATTTATTCATTTTATTATTATAATGTTTAAATATAACTCTTTATGATTAGGATCTTGATTGTAAAATCTAGACTTGCTTCAGATTTATGGCTTATGACATCTTTTCATACCCTAAAAATCCTCTTACCAAAGGGACATACATACATTTATACCATATAACGTAATTTTTATAATCAAGAAAGCTTATGATATCCATTTAAAGGCATATAAAAACGTAATAAATTTCTGCATCATTTCTATTTTGTTAATAAATTTATTTTATCTGGAAAGATGATTTAGTTAATGTATATTTTTTATGAATATAATTGTATATGATTTGAAGATTAATAACATCATCATTCATCTAGATGTTGATGAATGTTTCTAATTACTTGTTAATCAATAAAAAATGACATTAATCATATAAAAGTATTCTATAGGTTTATTGGAGAAAGGGAATCCTAAAGCTTTTATAAATGGACATGGACCATTTTATTAGTTAAGTCTATATTCATGACTTATTCACTCTTTCACCATATTCGCGAAGTATTTCATCAAGACAAGTTTTGAATAAATTTGTGCTGGGACTGTTCAGCATTTTAGAAGTGCTGAGGATTTCCGTATCAATTGTACCTGGATGCTAAGCTTTGTCAGGTTTAACAGATTCTTGTTTAGTGAGTAAGATGAGGGGAGGGAGTTCCAATGAACTATAATAGCAGGTTTAGGGCTATCATGTGCTAACTCATGGTGCTTCGAACACACTCCTTCTTTCTGCTACTACTTCTTAATTTTCTCAAAAACTTATTACGTACACTACTTATGATGAGGAGGCTTAATGGATGAAAGCTTAACTCTCTATACTCTGACCTTAGGAACTCAGGATTATTATCCAAGGGACCAAGAAATAGTCGACTTGCTCTAGGGTTGATCACAGCTTAAATTGCTTTGGTATAACATCAGAAGCTTTTTTGAGCTTGTTAATTTTTCTTTTTATGTTGTATTTTGTCCTAGTATTTTTGTCAATTTATTTTTATACTTTTTACTTTCCATATTTTTATTTAATCATAATTTCACTTTTAAGGCAAACGAAGCTTAATATTTTCAAGGGAACAAGTGATTAGACCTCACTTGGCAGAGATTATAAGGTCCTTTTGATGTCTTTTATACAAGAGTTAAAATTAAGACCATTATAATAAAGGGCTGGAAGATAATAGAAATTATCCAGAACAGCGTAGAAGGTCTGGAAGAGCCTCTAATAAATGGCCATGCTTTCCCTACAATTAAAATGTAAGATAAAAATAAATCATTTGTCTTTTATTAAATATAAATTTTCACTATAAAAATTTTTATTTATATTTGATTAATGAAAAAGGATAATAAAAAGAATTTAAATTTAAAGAAAGAAATAGTCATTTAAAATTTAGATAAGTGAGATGGATTTGCATCCAATAAATTTTAATTTACTTAATTGTAAACCTCTTTTAAGGATTAATAGATATAATTAAGAAATTTTATATAATATGTCTGTCAATATTTTGATAAATAAATTAGTTAGAATAAAATAGATTTCTTGAAAATTATTTAGTTTACCATATACCACTATTTAAATTTATGGGAATATGATTAATCAAAGAAGTTTATAAACTTATGAATTATTAGAAGTTTATAAAATAATGCTTTGAGATGGTAAGAAATCATAAAGAGAGGTTCAAAATGAAAGCTAAAATAATGTAAGTTGTGATTAATATCTATATTTTGTTTAATTTAATAATTTTTAATAACCATATCCAAAGAATCATGTAAATTTTTTGAAATGATACTAACATGGAATATATCATTTTATTTTTGCTAGCTTGATTTTAATAGATGTGAAGAAAAGATTTTTGATTAGATACCCATAAAGTCTAAAATATTTTTTTCTTACTTAAAGTAATCATGTAAAATGTAAACCTTTAAGTTGAAGAATTCTAATAATTAAAATAAATAGTAATCAAAATTCAGTAGATAAAAATTAAGAAATACAAGTGAAACAAAAACAATAAATGAGTTTTATCTAATCATTAAGTATGTATAATAAAATAATCGATTCATTATTTCAAAAATTGTATACCTAAACTTGAATAAATATAAGTAATTTAATAAGTAATAATAAATCTTGTAATTATGATTAAATTCATTTAAATTTAAATTAGAATCCTTTATCTGAAGAACTCTGTTTCTTTATGAACATACTCTCAAATTTATTTTGGTGGGCGTTTGAGGAAATGATATTTTCATGATTTGTATCTAGTTACAAAGTAAAAATTTATTTAAGTTTCTATTTTAAAATAACTTTCTGAAAACTCATTAAAATCTCTTCATTATTCTAATTAATGAATTGTTTAAAATAAATCAAATTTTTTATTTTTTGTAAATGATTATTTTAATGAAATTTTAACAATTATGAATGAAGCTTGAAAGATTCGTATGTTTATATTTAATATTAATATTTTTAAATTAAAGAGATTTAGTCTTTAGTTTCAAAGTGATTATAAAACATCATTAAAAATCTAAAAGGTTCAAATAAAAGATTAAAAGTACTAAACTCTAATCATTTAGTAAATGATATTGGTTTTTTAATAAATGTGAACACTAATTGTATGAGCATTGCTTAATTCAGAGGTGGAAAATGAATAGATAGATTAAGACCAATAATTAAGTAATTGATAGTTAATAGTCAATAGTAAACTAAAATCGAAGTAGTGTGCCACCCTCAAATGAATTTAATATTGAAATTTTAAATTAAGATAAGTAAATGTAATGCATTCAAAATGTATATCTTTTGATCAGCCTTATTATCAATTTATTAATTTTTCTTTAAAAATTGTTATATTCCTTGTAAGAGGGTGAAAATTAAGAATAATAAACTTTGGTATGATAATTTTTGAAATAATCTAAAAAGAATATTATTGTAAATAAGTAATCATTAACCCATACTTAATAT